ATAAGGCACGCTAAGAAGAAGAAGAAGAATTGACACCAAATTTAAAATATCAAATCGAAGCTTTTTTGTGGGCTATTTTTATTTATTTCGACTTCTTATACTACTTAATATTGTTCGATACGAGGGGGAAAACCCCTTTTGCGAACTCGTGCTGATGGATTTTTAAGCCGTCATCGCCTCCAATTAGTTGCTCAAATCCCGATGCTTGTTTCAGGCTACATACACGAAGTGCACCCGTCCTCCTTCACCACCTACATTGCAAAGAGCGAATTTCCATCGCAACATGCCCTGGCACCGTACGGGGTGCTGGAGGAACCTCCTCCCGCACCCGAATTCATCCCGCCGTCGCCGCCGCCCTACAAGAGGAAAAGCCTCTCGATGACCTTCACCTCAACAGGCGCCCACCTGAGCCTCCCGCCCAAGAAAAAGGACATCTACCGGCCGTACTGTTTGGACGAGGGCGGCAAAGCGGGAGTGATCGAGGAGCACCACTCGCCTCTCTCATTTCTCACCAACCAGCCCACCATCAGAGTGCCGGCAGAGGAGGATTTGCACGCGGCCCATGCCATTCTGGATCTGAGCGCCTCGACCACCGTCTTCCTCCCGGCACCCACGCCGCAGACAGTAGAACATCGCGACAACGACATCCAGGAACAGGAGAACATCCGGCCCCCGTCAATTGGCGTTAAGAGCGGAAAAACAGTGGCCTACACTTACGAGGCCTTCTTCGTCAGTGATGGCCGGTCGAAGAAGCGGCTGAATGCGGACGAAACGGTCGGCGCTCTCACCGCGAAGATCAGCAACGAGAAGCCAAAGTACACGTGCAGCGAATGTGGCAAACAGTACGCTACCAGTAGCAACCTGTCCAGGCACAAACAGACTCATCGGAGTCTGGATAGCCAGGCGGCGAAGAAGTGCATCACGTGTGGAAAGGCGTACGTGTCGATGCCAGCTCTGGCTATGCACGTGCTCACCCACAAGTTGGCCCACCGATGCGGCGTGTGCGGCAAACAGTTTTCCAGACCATGGCTGCTGCAAGGCCATCTGCGGTCTCACACCGGCGAAAAACCTTATGGCTGTGCTCATTGCGGCAAAGCCTTCGCTGACAGGTAAGAAACCCGAACAAATTACCTACTTTCTCCCGCTTTTGAGCGCATGAAACGTTGTTGAATGAATTATTCAGACTTCCATTGTCTCACAAAGATGTTTATATCACAATGTTTTCAGGCGGGCACTAAAAATGGTTGGAGTCACTACCAACATGGTGATAAAAACATATTTGCCCAGACAATAAAAGTCCGAAAAACCATTCTTCTATATTGTTGAGGCGGATTCATTTTTTTACAAACTTCTTGTTGGGCATTTCGCCTCAAAAATTTTTGTCTTTAAAAAAGACAGAATTTCCTCACGTCTTCTATTACAGATTGATAAATAGTGCTCCTATTTCGCAATAAGAACGAATTATTTATCAAAAAGTAATCAAGAACTATCACCTAGAGGGTATCCTGCGACACACTTAGGCTCAAGCTGTAAGAGAAAATTCCAATTAGAAAAGAAATTAATTTGAAAAATTACCTTGACGTTTCGATAGCTATTTTCTGCTATCGTTATCAAAAGAACCTAAATGAACCTGAAAAAGAGTATGTTAATAAATTGTGTAACAATAGTAGGATAATACAGTATATGAAAATTCGCTCTGATAATTCGTCTATGCAAATTGTCAGTTATGTG